TTTGGGCGACCGCCTTCATCATGAGGCAAACATTATAGCACGCTCGCGCGGCTGCTGTTTTCTTGAGACAACAATCACCTGCTTCGCCACATTGAGAGGATTGCTAAACATTCTTTCAACTCGTCAATATCTTCACTTTGAAATAATGTGCGGACACGATTCCACTCTGGCCTACAATTTACTAATTACAATAATAAATCGTTCTCCTTCTCTTTTGAAGACTTACGCCGTATATGGTACCCGGAAGCAGGGATTACTCATAAGATAGAAAGACTGCAAAAAGCAATTTGCAAATTCCGTACTCAGAAGAGTTCAAGCAATTACAAGATTGTGTAAGGTAGATACCTCGAATTCACAAACCTGCACAGTCAAAACCATCAATCATTTATGCAAAGACTGAAAGCTTTGTATCCTAGCGAATCCACAAACGAATGAAAGACGCCTAATCGTTGTTAGCACAATGTTTTTCAAATTTCGAATATTATACGATGCTATGCTATTACGCTTCGAACTCCTATAAGTTCCCGTAAATCGAGATCTAAGGTCAAAATTTTCAAAAAATTAGCCGCAAAAGCAAAATCTACGTTGCGATACATACGGCATGATGCAAGTAGATGAGCAATTCAAATAAATTGCGAAACATTCTGAGATGACACGAAGAGTAAAGAAATGCTATGAACAAAACTAGCTTCAGTTAAATTTTACATGAGGTATGATCTCCTTTGCAAATGTGTATGGAGTTCGCACTGAGGCCACAAGTCCTTTCTTATTGATAATGGGTGAACTTGATCCATATCTAAATAAAAAATCAGGACAAACTCAAACTCATGCCGCACAGATGACAGCAGTTATAAAATCAGCTAGGAGAAAACTTACTGCAATGGGTTTCCCTCCAAGTCGAGCATGGCACCTCCCATTGCACGAAGTATAGCATCTCCAGCACATGTGTCCCATTTCTTTATGGCTGTTTGGTGAATGTACAGTTCTAAAAACAGCAAACGACAGAATGAAAAGTTGCTCAGATATTACATCAAGAGCAAAGAGCTAGCGATGAAAAAGATTGGCTATTTGGCTAGATTGGCAGCCTACCAGCTGTCCCATTGACCAATCGTAGTGTCTTGTAGCCACTACCGCCAGCTGGTTCTACTGTGTAACGGTCT